TTTTATATTTAATTTATTTAATTATAAATAGTTATTTATTTTATTTTTAATAGGGCAACATTTTATATAACATTTATTATATTTTATTTCATATATTTATATATATAATATATATTTTATAACTGAAATAATATAATTTTTTTCTTCTGATTTGTGAGCAATGTAACAGTAAAGGGTTATGTGTGTAGACTAAGATGGTGAAGATGAGGGGCAGGTTTAGGCCTCAGGTGTACAGTATGATTTGATAGAAATGAATGTACATGTGCATAATGGCTGTGTATGATCTGACAGAGATGGATGTATATGTGTATAATTACGTGTATGGTTTGACAGATATTAATGTATATGTGGATAAATGTGTATGTGTGGGGAATGTTGAAAAGGCAGTATGGGGAGAAGGGAAAAACTTAGGACTAAGTTAGTTCATGAATTTATTCATCATAGGTGTACAATATTCAATATTTTGTAAGATTTCAATGTCCCATGATGTATCAGATATAGTGTTGTGTTGCATGTGATTGGTGTAAGTGATTTTAGATGCCTGGAAGTTTGGTGGAAAAAAACACCTAAGAATAGATAGTATGCGCAGTGAGGGACTCAGCTTGTTTTTATTTGAATGATTTACAATAAGCGACACTGGAGAGCATCCCATCTTCTGTTTGACCTGCCAAGATGCTCAGCCAGCCTATAGCACAAAAAAATGACGTAAAAAGCAAATATGTAAGATTCAACACTATTTATAGCTACTCAAATAAGCTTTTCATTTGAACTCCTTTCAAGATGTTCTTAATAACATTTTCAAATCATGCAACAGAACATTCAGAAATTCATATTTATTTTCAGTTCAACTTATGGCTCAAAATAGCGTTTTCATTCATTTTCTATTGCCCTCCACTGTACATGAAATAAAAATTACTGAAGAAGCATCCCTGTTGCTTACCTTGTCAGTTGACCTTATAAGTCTTCTGAAGAGATGTTTGGTGCTGCTGGTGATCTAAAGGGTTCACACAAAGTTTACTGGTTGACGTCGAAGTAGGGGTCACACACAAACTGGAGAGTGTCTGCCTCACTGTCAGGATCTAAAACAAGCCAAAGCCTTAACTCCAGGAGGTTTCTCACTGTAATTAATAAACGAAGCCGCTTTGATTGCTGCTATAACTGTGTTTATGGGAGCTCTGCATGCTGTCTGAAGGCTGAAGATATTATTGATTTGTCTGTCAGCAGGGTGTTTAAATAACGTGTAGATGGATGGGATTGTTGTCAGATGATTTGAGTGTAACACATTTAAATCTCAGGTATTAATTGATTAGTGTTCAAATGTAAAATCTTCCTGTCAGAGTCTAAATCAAGGGGCTAATTTGCCCTCCATCACATCTTGACATAGCAAATCGCACTTTACACTGTGCCTTTGTTTTGTCTTTTTCAGTGGTTATGAATTTGATTATGATTACTACCGGGATGATTTCTACAATAGGTATGTATGCATTTATTTACCATTAATTTGACTGCACACATTTTGAAACACTCGAGTCCTTCAGCAGCATGATCTTTCATGTATGACTTTAAGCTTTGTCAAATGACAGTATGTAAAGATAAAAAGATGCATACAAGTATATGAACGTAATTAACTATGGCATTAAAGGGGTCATATGATGCAATTTCAAGTTTTCCTTTCTCTTTGGAGTGTTACAAGCTGTTCGTGCATAGATAAGATCCCTAAATTTGCAAAGACTAAAGTCTCAAACCCAAAGAGATGTTCTTTATAAAAGTTAAGACTTGTCCACGCCCTCCTAAAACGCCTCGTTCTAACACGCCCCCACATGTCTACGTCACTGTGTGGGAAGATTTGCATAACACCGCCCAAATGTTCACGCAAAGAAAGAAGGCGTAACTTTTATTCTTGCTGTAGTATTGTTGCCGCCGCCGCCATGTCGTGGAGACGCTGTGTGTTTTGTTGTGAAAGCGAAACTACTTTGTTTGGCCTTCCAAAAGAGGGCACAACTAGAAATCAGTGTTTAAGTCTGGTGCTTCTGACTCACAGCCTGTAAGTACGTTTTCATATTTAAAGAATTTGCCACTGATGATTCAAACGCGAGTTTTGAGCAGTGTAGGGTAGCGCTTGTTGTTTGTCGTTTCTCCGATCACAGATGCAGACATGGTTTTATGTTTACGTGCCGCGCTACGCTACGCAACGCAACGCATAAAAAGACAGTATAAGTCATTATAATAAGTAATTATGTCCCCACTGGATGCTACAAATGCCTCGTTTATAATGGTTTTTAATGTTTTTGTCTCGTCGCGCCGGGACACGGCATCACAGTATGGTAAGGGGCGTAACATTTCC